TGATAATATACCTCCATGCAATTTCCACGGAATATTAGCGAAAGATATAAATTTTGAGCCAAAAGTCGTTCACTGCAAGGCGGTCAATGAGAACCTAAATGTACAATAACTTGAGAAAATAATGAAAGGAGGTAGCCCTTAAAAGGGCTGTTGGTGCCAGCAAAGAGCCTGTCGTTAAGGCCGTCTATCCGTGCTAGGGGCTCACGCACCACCTATAACACCATCCTCGTCGACACAAAGCCTAGGGCCACTCCCCTCGGCATTAGTCAGGACATTAACAGCTGGTCCGCAGTAGAAGTTCTGATCTTTTGCGGCATCCCAAGTCTTCAAATCTTCTGCCGATGCCTTGTGCCTTCTCAGCGACCAGCACGCTCCGAGGGAAAATGAGATGATATAGGATACTGAATGGTTTGGTTATATTTATACTAAATTGTTAATGACAATATCATTTAATATTAAAATGTATATGTCTTTATTTAATTATGTAAAATTTCTTGAAACCACTTGTTAACTCTGATAAGAAGGATCTCACGTGAGTTATTGAACTCTTTGTTGCCATTTCATAAAATAGGAAAAAAACAGAATCTCTAAAAAAACACAACACGGCAAAATTGAAAATGCTGCAGGATCGGTTTGAGCCTGTGTTCCTGAACGGTAATGGTAATTGCAAGCTACCGTACACGCCCCCTAGCATAAAAAGCTTGCATTCAAGTTTATAAATATCTGGAAAAAAGTGATTCCTCGGAAGCATCAAAATCAGAAAAAATACATGAAAATTGCGGACTCGGTATGATTGAGTCTGTACATGAGGGATACTGAAAAGGTGTAACATCCCTCACAGCTGCGACAATTATTGCTTGAAGTTCTACAAATGAATACTTCCAAAATGATTTTATGAAAGAAATGGTGGATGCGCGAAATCATTGCTAAACTGATAAAACCGTACTTAAAATAGCAGTCTTATATTTTGTGGCAGAACAATTGATTCTGATTACGTACAATATTCGTGTGTGTCAAATATTAGAAACATTCTGTGTCACGCCGACCCTTAGATTGTGAAAACACTATAATTTTAGTGTTGGCAATTTTTTTTTAGATACTAAAAAATCTTATATAGCTTGATACATATAACTTATATAGCTTAAAACTGTAGAGAATTTATTTGTCATTCTTAAAAACTATTATGCCCAGACGGAAGGTACCAGGAATTGAATGATTTTTATATGCCGTCATACAAGTGGTGATATATTAATACAGCATAGACACCCGTATTTCGAGTGTTGCAACACCCACATACAGCCCTGTATAGTAGTAAGCAATTACGAGTATAAAAAATAATATAAAATAAATTTATATAAAAAAAAATTATTATAAACTTTGCAACCGAATTATGTAAAATAGTAAAAACCATCTCTTAACGAACGTCCAACACGGCAAAATTTAACATGTTTTGTTAAATCTGTTTATAGACGGCAGTGATCAATGTAAGCAATCGCCCACATCCCCTAGCACCGGCTATAGCAGATTTCAATATTTATATATGAAAATGATGCAATTTTTATCTTAGAAACATCTACAAACCACAAATATTTCAAGTGGACTGAACTGGTCAGCAATTCCATACGAAAGGTAATGTTAATTTTAAAACTACATTTGTAACAATTTGTTTGAAAATCAAATTGTTTAATTGTTATTTAAACATTTGATATCCCATTCTAAATATAACTGGAACAAAAGCGTTTAGCACCCTGATTTAAATCATTAAAAGCCGGAAATTAAACGGAAATGACTTTAAGCAAAGTCCTCTAAATTCTATTTAACGTTTTAAAATGTGTCTATATAGTAACAACATACAAACTACACCCGGTCAAACGTTTTTAAGAAATAACAAAAACCATTGTTATATAAAATGTATGAATCTATTGTCATACTGATTGTCTGAGGAGGGTTAAACCTTGAATAATTATATTAAATTAAACTTAACAAACAATTATAAGTACTTTTTTCCAGACAATAATATCTAAATTAAAATCCCCACTTAGTAAATGTTAAAGCTTTTTAAAACTATTAACGAAGATATTAATAATGTTTAACTTTCGCAGTTGTAGTCAATGAGAACTAACAATAGCATTAGTTTATGTATTTTACTCTCTGTGCTTGGCAACTAAAGTGCTATAATTATGCTAAACTGTCGAGCTGGTTGCCTTAAATAACGAAAATGTTACTTTTATCTGTATACTGTCATTGTAACAATTAGTCCAAATCTGCACTTCTGCCAACATATTCAAAATGTTTTGTTTTAATGATAACGTATAAAGTTATTGTAAAATTCCTTGATTATCTTAGTATGACCTTTAAATGACGTGGCTAGATAGCAAAAAATAAATGTATGGGCATATGAGTGAGAGAAAAGTTTGCTCGCTTAATAACTTAATTGTGCCTTAAGTATTTGTGTTTATTATTGTTATCATTTAGATAGCATTGGAGTAGCCTAATGTTCACATGGGTGCGAGTATTTTTACTCCATGTATCCTTTATATCATCATCTGTAGAGCTTATTTTTCATTTTGAGGAAGGAAAAGGTTATCAGCGTTTTTTTTATAGAATATATGTTTTTCACAACCAGCTTCATCTAGGGAAATTAAAACACGTTTATGTTGTCTGTGGCGACTGTAAGTAATGACTGACAGTTCTGTTTGTTGAGTACTTCATCTTTTTATTTTGAATTGTTCATTTTTTTTTTAAATTGACGTGTCATAATAAATCATTTTCTAAATATTTCCTAACATTTTGTATGTAAATTAATCGTCTGATAAGTTTGATAAGTTTATTTCAATATTCCATTGGACCAAATGGCCCATGAGGATAAACAGATACATGATACATGGAAAGACAGTGTAAAGCATATACATACAATAACATGTGTAAATGGAGAAGGTATACAAAAAATTGTATATCATCAATTAAAATGAACATCAGAACAAAAGGACAATCAAATTTACCTAATGTTAAATAAATTACCACTGCCTAGTCTGATATATTTGTGTATAACAAACTATTCTTTTTACCAATCATTTACACCCAATATTTTGCTATTGAATTGTGACCGTCCAATATATTTCCTGTACAGAACACTAAAATCCAATATATTCTAAATTGGAGAGTTCAATGCGTTTGACATTTTTTCCTGTACCGTCAACGATAAAACTAGTGAACGACAAAATTGTTTGTAAAAATCGAAACGAATCTGACTGGCGTTTCTTATCAGAATATTTTAATTTAGTAACATTTTGCATTTTGTCGTTTAGATATCTATGTAGAAATGAATATTTCTTGTAGCATTTTATTCTGTACAATATATTTTGACTCAAGGAAAGTAAAGTATGTCCAGTTGTGTAAATGTCCAAATATGTTCCCGTATGGCATGGAAAGATAGGCGGTATACGTATATTAGGAAAAATATATGGTTAAGTTTGCATTTTCTAATAAAAGGTAACTTATATACATACAAGAAGATATTAATGAACTTTTATTGAAGATAAAGTATTTCTTTATTTATCAATAACATTTGGACATATTTTTTCCCTTTATATTTTTCATTAATTTTATAATTAGCAAATGCCATTCCTTTCATTTCGACCACCGCGATCAACCTCTTCTCTTTTTTTGCACATTATAATTCATATCGTCTGCCAAAACAAATATTTTCCCACAATTCATTGCGCATTAAACTAATTAACCTTTTGACCTTTCAGGTAACCTATACCTTCCACGTGAATTAAATTATGAGTAATATAATGTATTAACTGTATTTGATTGACAAATATACGTATTGCATTGGTTATAATTGTTTTGAACCTGCCAAAAATGTATACAACTTTATGTGATCACTTTCTAAAATCCATTACATTTTCAGAAGTAAAATAAAACCCTTAAAATTTGTAATTATACAATAGACATTGTAATTAGGATTCAATAATCATAAAGTATAATTATTTTTTACAAAAACGTATGAAATAACAATAAACGTATCTTAGGACACCTTTTTAATCTTAAATACAGTAATTAAAATGCATAATGATCCTCTAATAGCCTCTATTTCAGCGAGCTTCATTTCCGTTTCTGAATGAACTTACACGCATTGTTCCTAGGTAGGTTTTAAACGGTTTTGTTACGACGAACTAATTTTCAATTTTATCAGCTAAAATTTGCATGTCGACATTACAAGATAACGTAAAAGATATGTCAAAAATATTCACTTTCTGCATAGCTAATGCAAAGGTTATGATTTCTGCATTCCGCTTGTCAGGACACATTAGCATTACTGTTCCAGTACGGTTATTACAAAACTTACCATACAATTTGGACAAAAATCTGATCGACAATGACATATTTATTACAAATGTTGTTTTTTGTTTTTGAAATATCTTAAATAAATAATAAGAGACTATTTTGGACCTTAAAGGTATAATCATATAAAACAGTATGATATTTGTTGAAATAATTCAATTTCTTAAAGAGACTCCATTTAGTATATTTTTATTGTCTTTTGCATATCATTCTGTTTTAAGCGCTTCAATTCATACCGGTAAGAAATTTAAATTTTATGTGTTCGGTATTTGAACCTCAGTCGAGTTCCTTTAATAAAATTGATGAAATTGTTAGAATTGGAATGATACGAGATCTCTTGAACAGTTTTATTATCTACCGACAAACATATCCCTTGTATTTCTCTTTTTCTCTATTCTGAACCTCGAAATGAAAACCTTTTACTACATTGTTTTGTACCATTGCGAGTTAATGGTCAACTAATAAAGAATACAAGCCAACTACACCATAATAACATTGTTTTGGTTTTGTATTGCTGTACATATTAGTCATCTTTGTTCATACATTAGAAAATATTCAAGACATTTAACCTATACAATTCTATAACAAACATATTATTCGATCACAGTTAAATTTTCTTTAAAAAAAAAAGAAAAAAAACAAATAAGAGGTCATTATGACTTTCATCTTTATTCTGTGTATGACAATCAACAAGTAAACAAATATGTGAGAGAATATAAAATGTCTTTATATTTGCAAAATAAAATATAGTCGTCATTAGTGGTGATTTAAATCTAATATATACAAAACATACATTTATTTAACAGATATCTATTTGTGACAACATAATCATACAAAGAAAAAGAGATTTGTGTGGGAATTCTGTATCATTTCCATTACGCAATGATGATAAAAACAGTTTTATTATAAACATATCGTGTACGATATATCATAATTTGAAATATTTTTTTGTTTAGAACAACTAATTTAATAGCAAATGTAGGTCCATATAATAGTTCAGTGATAGAACTCTTCTCGGCTCGACGCTGTGTTGTAAAATTGTCCCAGTACAATATCGAGAAAGTTGCAATTTTATCTGCAAAACATTTTAAATATTTCCGCGTTGCAATATCATCTGCAAAACATTTCAAATATTTTCACGTGTTAATTTCATCTGCATTTTTTTTTAATATTTTCGTGTTGCAATGTCTTTTGCATAACATTTCAAACATTTTCAGTGGCAATTTCATTTGCAAAACATTTTTGGAATATTTTCGCGTTGCAATGTCTTCTGCATAACACGTTTTAATATTTTTGCGTTCGTTGCAATTTCATCTGCAAAAACCTTTCAAATATGTTGTTTATATACTTTCGGTATGTATAATTACAAATATCATTTTGGTTGAATTCAAAAATATTTTACTTTCAAAAGTATTGTTTTGTAAGTCGTATTTTACAATCTTAATTACGTCAATGCCTATTGTGTTCAATGCTCCAAGATATTCGGCTTAAGCATTCATATAAGCAATCTGTCCTCTCTTTCGTTATGTTTGAAACAATACCATCCAAAGTTATACAAATTAGCGAACTTTTGCCTGATCTTCCTAGCCCAAGCTTATCATTCAGAGGTGTCACTGTTCAACTTATTCTCCTCTTTCTTTAACAACAAACGTAGTATCACGATAGCTCCCTGTCTAATCCAGAAGAAGTTGCTATGTCTTCATCGTCTACTGATATATCTTCATTATCATTGTCCGCATCTCCATCACCTTCGTCATCAGACTTTACACGTTTATGTTTTGTTCTTCTGTTTTGAAACCATACTTTTACCTGAAAACACACAAGAAATAGATGATTAAATACATGTAATGTATATAGTAAATATTTTGGAAGAAAAAAAGTTGTATTTTTTCGTAAATTGTTGGCGAATTTTTGGTGTTTTTACACAAGGTTTTCTTTTCATGGGCATAAGTCGATGACTTGTATAAATTGTAATTTGCACCGAAGGCTCCTGCGAATTCTCATTCTCAGTAGAAAAACAGATTTTAATGGCAAGGAATGTTCTTTTTAGAAATCATATTCAAATTTGTTTTAATCCCTCATTTACAAATTAATTTGGATGTATTTAAGCTACTGATTGCTCGAAGTCCTCTTTCAACTCGGAACAACACCTGTGCTAGTGTACCTGAATGGGATGCTACAAGACAGAAATTTTACGTTCGAGACCCCTACTGCATGTGATTGAAAGTAAATCATCTTAGTCTATTATAGGGCTTCACATCATGCAATGACATCTATTTAGCTTTGAAATTAATACCGTTTTGAATAAAAATCATTCACGCGATTTGAATAAAGACTATCTATATGCATCGTGTCGCTGACTAGCGCGCTAATCCGTCAAATTTAAATTGAATTGTAAACGAAAACAAAATTTAATACTGATATTAAGGATTCATTTTTATGGAGATTCTTTTTTATTCTTGTCCAAAAAAATAAATTGTGTGACACGGAATGATGAATAGCGTTGTATATGATTGAAGGGTTTTGTAACATTATGGTTCTAGCACTATTGAGGTATCCCGTTGAGAGTCTAGGCTTACGTTGGAAAGACGACACGGTGTGTTGGGGAGCTATTTACAGCAATAACTTATAGTAGTATGCTGTTTTAGTATAATATTTATCAAATCTTTTCCAGCATATTAGATGTGGTTAATGGGTAGTTTGGAGAAAGGCATCGCTGTATCACAGGGAGTTAATACTGACGGTTTATGAATAGCTCTTTCCAAATGACATATGATTGTCAACCCAGGGTTTACAAATTGACCTTAGGTCGCGGATTAGAATAGTATAACAATTGCGACTAAATTTATGATTCAGATAGACTGATACAGCAATCGGTTTTCTATCAATCACATTCCAAGGAATGAAATTGAGCTAATGCTTTCAAAATTGGGTGGGCAAGAATTTGATATGGTTTCGTAGCCAATGTAGCGTTTCATTGGACACTGATGATTCAATTTCCCTCTAGACAGGCGTTTGATTTGAGACGCAGCCATTCGTAAGGGAAATGTATTTAAAATCATAGCTTGTCATAATGTTACTGTATTGTTTGATTTTCAATCGACATTAGACCGATTAGATTTCTGTTGTTACGGCAATGTTAGCAATTATAAATCTAATTGCGCTGATTCTTCGTGTTCATTTTCTGTTTATTTTGACACAGTGGTATATTTACGTAGCATTGAAATGACCATTGTTATTTTATAACTGAATTTTTACAACCAATTAGATTATCGCTAGCTAATTCAACATTGAAGATAGTCTTTATGACATGTTCGATTATTTAAACTATGAAGAAACATGTGATATATCCTTGGAGTTTGTTTTTCTTTCTGTTCTTGTCAGGTATATACATACATACAGATGTAAAAAGCATCTTTCATAGTACATGTACCTGTATTAAACTAAAAACCACTAAGGTATTTAAATATAAAATATATTTATGAACGGAAGGAATTTACAATTATCGCAGGCATAGTATTATAAGTAGTTGTTATATACTAATAAATGTTCTTTTGACCAACTATACGCCGTTACTCGCAAGTGTCCCTGAAAGGAACCCCACTGAAGTTAAAAAAAACTAAAAACAAAAAAAAAATGAATTTCTCACATAGATATGTTGGGGCACTAATCACAGAAAGATATGCAAAAGATGATTAAGAAATATACTCCAAAACAAATTTAAAATCGTATTTTGTGCTTTTTAAGCCAAATTTAAATGAAAAGCGTTGCACAACACTTTTCAATTTTGGGTCATTTTTCACTGTTATTATAATCATACAGGAAAAACGGAGTGAGCTAATGATCTGAAATTTTGCACACAAGTTAGAAAACATTATTTAAAGTTCCTTCATGTCAAAAAAAACCTCAATGGAGTCCCTTTTATGTAATATAATGCTATATTTTCCTGTTCTTATGTCCGCTTAGGATTGTTAATATTAATGCTTACGTTGCTGGGGCGTAAGTGCTGTTTCTATATTATCAACTACACTTTTATTGTTGCAAGTAATTGGGACTTTTGTGCGTGTGTGGTTTGTTTTTGAAGATTTTGAAGAATAACCCATTTGTCAGAATCTAAGAAACAAGCGCAGCTTAAATGTCCGCTTTATGTCTATATATTAATTGTATACTATATGTTTTCGTACATGATAAATATTTTGTCTTTATTTTAAGTGCAGATATTTTAATCTGTATTCAGCCAGTGACAGTCGACAGGGTGGTACTCTTTCTTTTGGATTGCGTAGATGGAATATTATTTTCAAAATAAATAGTATTGTTGCGCATTTTGCACAGGTTTGTGCACACGAAATATTAGTTAGAAGAGCTCTATATCACCTAAAAGAGACAAGTTGCCAAAACGTAATTATATGAATAATTTGCCATATTGTGGTTAGGAGATAGGACCTGTCAATTCGGTGTTCGTGTCACTGATTTATCAGTAGAAAATTTAATTATGCTCATTTAAATCAATTAACGCGTGTTTCAAAATTGAATTTCTTTGTTAGAAACAATAACAGTTGTAGTTCAGATTTCAATATTCAATAGCGTGAAGGTTTGCCTTCTATACTGTATATGCTTGGAGGCCTAATTTGGACAAGGTTTAGTAATTTTCTTTACAAAAGCTAATACTATACTGTATACATAATCACGCTGCATTTACAGAACATACAGATTTCTTCCGCGAGAAAGAACTCCAACTATTCGAAACAATAGAAAGAAATAATTCCTAATTTAATTGTTTCAAGCGTATAACGCTTTTTGCAAAAACATGCCACCCCAGAGATGACCCTGTATAACTTTTTTGTAGGGACAAAACACCCCTTATCAGTTGTCACCTTGCGATCATTATCCGGGCGTCTCTACTACATCGAAGATCATTTGTTCTGCAATATGCTTCCGCACAAATAAATAGTTCCAAACATGGCCGCAATATCGGAGGAATCTTTGACAGTAGACAGTTGATCTTCGCTTAATTACCCTCAGATGATATCTAAATACCCAGCTCAGATTTTAACATAAGTAATAAATTAAACAATTTAGGAACACACAAATAGTGGAATCTGTACTGGCTACCACAGACAGTCTATAGAATAAAATTAAACGGAATATACCGTAGACAAAATAATATTATACCAGTCGAGTGAAAAAATAAATCTTTTCCGTGACTAAACGTCTCGATGCACAAAAAGCTCTTTAAAAAATATACTTTTGATAGATGTAGAATTCAAATCGAAATATGATTTTAGAAGAGAATAGACCTGATCAAAGGCATAACCTTCATGTCACTTGGTTATGTTATCAATTTATAAGTCTTTAAATCTTTTGCCCATTGATTTGCATAATGGAAGGATCAATGGTTGAAAATGATACATAACACTTTAAATTCTTATATGCACTTTGCCATTTAACTGTCCGAACATCAGTTATTGGATTTATTCTGCAGTTAATACCATCATCAAAGAATCTATCAAATCTATTAAATTGGAATTATGCAATATTAACTCTTCAATCGAGCTCTTAATCTTGTTAATAAAACATCAGTGTGCTTTCGATATTGCACTAACATCTTTTGACAGCTTTATTAGAAGTATTAGCAATGACAAGTGCATATAAACCGCGTAAATTAGTATATCATTAACACTCATTTCTCTTTTAATTAAATTCTATAGATGCGCGGGATACGTGTGGTTGAGAGACGTCTCTCAGTAGCCATTTTAACCGCTTGACAAAGCCTGCCGTTGGTCTGTTACATTCATCCTGCAGTGAAAAGCATTAAAAGGATTATTTCTTGTACGGATGTCGCGAAATAAACGAATAAGATATTAATACGCGGACTGATTACAGTTGATCCGCTGGAAATGAGTCCCTTGGGTCTAACAATTTCTCTGAATACATCTCCAACGTACGCTTGTATGCTTCTCAAAGACAGCTAATCTCTTTATCATCGACTGAAAATGAGGTGTTGTAATTGTCAGATAAAATATTCTGCAAATGGCTTTGAAAATTCCGTTCAGTGTCTGTGACTTTCTGCTCAGTTTGTCCACTTGTTTAATTAAACGTTCAATTGTTTTGTTAACTGGTGCCATAAGTGATGATAATTGATTCTTAATTGAAATGAAGAACTTGATTAAAGCGTGGAATCAGTGGAATTACTCGAAGTATTGAAGACGCGCTGGATAACCCCCGGTACACGGTATCACGGTAGTGCGCACACCGGAACTGTTGTATCTTTTCCTAGTTCCGTTGCTTTTAAAACGTTTTTAACTCATTTAAATCTTTTAGCTAGGAATTTGTGATCAATTGAAATCAATTGCGTATGACGATCGTAACTTTACGTTAAATCATCTTATTGTTTTAACATGATTTGAATGAACCATCATTTCTACAAAGGTATCTTTGAAAGACAAACAACTGACATCTCGAAAAAAAGGGCCTGCCAAATTGGTCTCTTTAAATATTCTATGAACAGTTTCAAAAAACCAAGAACAAAAAATGAAATGACACTAATATAGTGTAACCAATTTAATTTCCGCCCTGAAAACAGTGTAAAGTTTTCAGATGATGTTACATGAAGACACGACTATATTCACTTGTCGTTACTATGTGAGAACATGTTGCGCAAACTCTGTGCCGACTCCGTGAAAATTGAGACCTGAATAAATGCTCGTTAATGACAGGAAATTGGAAGGATTTTTACCCATAATTCCAATCGAAGTCTAGGATTAAGTATCCTCTCTATTCCTGCTAATTGTTTACATGGGAAAATAACATGGCTTTCAGATTTAAAACACATTATGTGGCATCCATTTTGACAGTCGGTGATTCCGCGATAATTTTGAATTCTGTTTACTAATGTGCTATAATATGCGTGATTCCATAGTGGCCAATTCTAAAGACTTTATAGAAATGCGAGCCAGTATTAATTGATAAAACCGTATTATCATTGGGACGGTAATTGTTAAATACCTTTAAGGGTTCTTTTTTTCCTGGCATGAGATGAGCAGTTTACAGAAACCGTTGAATTAATTGCGTAAATGGGCGAGTTAATAGCTAATAGTGATTGTTAGCGGCATTAATCAATTCAAGTAATCTTATCAATATTTCAAAGGCCGTTTTTCAACTCAATGGTTTGTCTTTTCATACATTTTCACGTTTGAGCGTTTCGTAAAAGGAACAGAAATAGTGTTCATGTGACATTTTGAATTATAAAGAATGATGCAGCAATATTTTAAAGTTCTGGTCAAAGTTCGAGCTCTTTATTTTACACTTTCTATGCAGTAATTAATGTGATCGGTACGGGTATTTTGTATAAATGAGCAATTTTCGTAATTTTACCAGATATCACTTGCTTAATATACTGATCCTATTGTTATTAAATGAAAGTTTGAAATATTTTATAGCAATTAATGATTGACTTTTTATAACTAAAAATGACAAGCAAAATTACACTATATATTGACGCATTCGTACGGTGGTCTGAAATATTAAAAATTATATAACACATTAACATTTTAGCAATACAGTTGTAATATTTACTTTATTCAATTAATTTCACTTTTCAGGCGGAAAAATCATAATTAATCGTAAGATTTTTTTGTAAGATTTTTCTTTGTTACGCATCATTTTATCTCTTTAAGCTATTATAATATTATGATATTCGTGGATTTCGACAAAGGACATCATTTGGAACATCACGTCTATTTCCCACAATTATTATCCACAGTTATTGTGGCGGCATGGCCGAGTGGTAAATGTATCAGAGAGGTAATATAAGGACTTTTTGGTTCAGGAGTTTGTTGGTTTAGATCTATTAAGATGCAAACAGTTGTTCCCTTGAGCAAGAAACTTTACAAAAAATGCCAAATACTGGTTGGTTTCATGGCCGTATTCGAAAGTTTGTCTTACAGTTTCCTTCACAATCAAAGTAAAATAAATTCTGTATCAAAATCCGAGGTTTTGGCGGAAAAGGGCAACAAAGTAATGATTGCAAAGAACATCAAAGTGCAGCTGTTAAGATCATCTATCGGAAGAAAAAGTACATTTTTATGCCCGAATTAAAAAATATTTAAATTTAATTTTCCAAAAAAAAATATCAGAAGATAAAAAGAACATGAAAGATCTTATAAAAAGTGGAAACCTTTATTACCAGAGATAAATAAAATAAATACAAATGAGCGATGAAATTATATTTATTGAGGGATTCTGTTTTACTTTATTTATCGTTTTTTATTTTATTTTACTTAATATATTTTCTATCTTATTTATTTATTTATTTATTTATTTAAAATGTATTTATTTATTTATTTAAAATGTATTTATTTATTTATTTATTTATTTATTTATTTATTTAAAATGTATTTAGTTATTTGTTTCATTTTTATTTTTTATTGTTTTTAATGTTTTTTTTTCTGTTTGTTTTTGGGTTTTTTTTGTTTTCTTTTCTTTTTGGCGAGGGGGGAATGTATTTTTTGTGCAAAGGTGCTGCTTAATTCTTTCAGAAATGATAGTGGTAAACTTTCTGGAGTTCTTCACTCCCCGTCTCTAATTGACTCTGAAATTCTATATTTATTTGTTAAACAAATCTGAGACCGTCACCTATCTTGTAGTGAGTATATGTTTTGCAATGATGGTTTACTTAAAAAATCATGTTCTGTTCAGAATTTTGTAACATTATTATTTCGATCCACTAAGAATCTATTGCAAGACTCGTATTACATGTGAATAACATGTATCTCTTCATATTTGGAGAAAATGAAGGAAAAAATCCTAAAACTACTTTATTTTGGTACTACAATTCATATACATGTACGTTCCTATGAATACATGCATTACACGAAAATAAAAACTTAAATCTAGTTATGTGAATAAATTGGAGGGAAAACTGCAACCCGTCTGATCAATTTTTGGCCAACTAGTCTCGTCAATTATTGGCACATACGAGCAATGGAGTATGATATTAATTTATCTATCGCCATTGCAAACCCATGTCAGTGACACACTCCAGAGGATTATACCGTATTTTTTTTTGTTAGAAATCTAGTGCTGCGGACAAAAAAAAATTCTCCATTCCACAAAAGAAAACAACTGGTCTGTAAATGATGAGAAGCCCTACTACACGAGATTCCGGTTCAAAAGACATATTCGTAAGCGTTATTCCTGACTTAGGAGTCAGAGACTGGTACCAATGTACAACTGCGCCAGCACTTCTTCGTACAATTCATGATTTTAATGATTGAGAACTGTTTTGGGAAAATCTATACAACTTTAGAATTAGCCCAGTTTTACGACATAATTATTATGTAATTTATATCATACTCGTGTATACATTTTAATTTAATGATATCCCCTCTACAAACCATTTGACAAAAATTGAGATATCGTCAAGGGCAAACATACAAAACATTAATTATACATGTGTTTTGTTTATAATCGTAACGTATCATTGTAATATAGGATGGTAATAAAGGTCACCCAGTACAAATATGACTTGCCCCTAGTTAGGCTTTGGAAAAAACAATCATCAGAAGCAAGTTCTGATGGGAACAAAATGCACAGAATATCAGATGAGAAAACGTTAAATAATGTTCCTAGGTTACCTGGGTCTCTGTAAGGCTGAGTTTTGATGCAAGCTCCTTCCTTTCCTGTCCAACCACGTAATGGTTTTTCTCGAAAGCGTGTTCAAGCTTCAGGAGTTGTGACGGAGAAAACGCTGTCCGGATACGTTTCGGCTTTCGGTACGGGTGAAAGAACATACCGGCGTCTGGATGACCTAGAATCATAAAAACAAGATGGCGTTATAAAAAAAAACACTGCCCCAAAGACCTAGAATTATAACAAAAAAAGCAAAATGGGTTAGAGAAATTAATGTTTGCCCTCGCTGAGTCGCATACATAATATAGTGTGATGTTTTCAAGAATGCTTTTCTGATTGGGAGTTTACTTTATACTCAACTGCGCATATGAATAATAAGATTTTATATTTTGTATAAAAATATGTTTGCCTGTTAAGATAATATTGTTGTTTTTTTTGCGCAATCTATCTGTTTTTTTCTTTCTCTTTTTATGGTAAACAAGTGATAGGTGTAACATGGAATGTGTTGACTTTTGAGCTGGACAAATCGAGTCCAAATCTTTGTATCATATTTACTTAACATTGCTTTAAAACACTTAAAATTTGTAAAAGGAACTTTTTTGTATCACCTAGGATTACCATTTCTATTCATGTTTTTCAATTAACACGGCCATTAAGGCACAATACTGAAATAATAGACTGAAAGCCTAATTTACAGTGTTTAAAAGCTATGCTGGCATCAGGTTACAAAACCCACAGACCCGTTGTCCGTGTCGATAGAAATATTGATGTTTGACGGCGATAGCTGGAAAATGAATATACGTTATGCATAATTAACATTCAATTAAGACAAATATGCGTTAGAGAGTTAAAACGAAACCAGTAATTAGTGAGTTGATTACGATCAATCTATTCAAAATTAGGAGTCAGAAAATGAATTCCATAAATGGAATAGACAGAATTGATAATAGTGAGGCCCGGCATGATGTGACTCAATTAGTGACTCAGTGTAACATAAAAGTCATGATTCTGTAAAATATGGGATTATCTTAATAATTATTCACATTATTCTAAGATTTAATTTGCAATTCTATCTTAAAATCAAACAAAATAATGTTTCACCATGTTATCTATTATATGAGAAGCTGATAAAAAGAGACCAGATTGTTAAAACAAATTTAGAAAAATAAAAAAGTAAGCACAATTTATTGACCATTGTAAAATTAATTGATCATATGGAACGCCAGATGTAAAACACGTGTAATATTCTCGTTCCTTTGACGTAATTTCCGCATTTAAAATAATTGTTACAGTGATAGTTTTGCATATTAAAATGCAATTATATCAAAATGACCTATCCATTGACCTATCAGAAAAAGATGACGCCGGGTAGCGAGAAATTGTGTACAGCACGGAATCTCCGTATATCAATATGATTCCAAACACAAATCTGATACTGATATGTGTAAAATGTGTATTCTTTACATGTGTAAAATTCTTTCCATGTCCATGTCGAAAACGATTTTCTTTGGCCAACACTATAAAGTCTGTCCAGCTTGCAAGTCCATGCGGTCTGACAAAGCGCTATGCCTCCTTTGGTTGACTAACTTTTAATTATCATCTTTATTCGCAAAACTGATAACGAAAATTTCCATACATTAAAACTAAACAAGACTTTTAAGGATTTCAGCAGATTTCAGCAAACTAAATGTTAAGGATTATATTTGTTGAATATTAAATCGGTAATGGTCCTGTAAATTTCTTGTTTCGTTTCTCCATCGGATCAGAAGAAAAACTAGCCAGTATAGTTTACCATGACCATGTTTGCAAAAAAGTCAAATATATAGTATAACACGTCAATCTATCTTACTGATTGCAAACACCCTGTAAATGTCCTCCTAGTCCTTATCAAGGTGGTCTTACCGACAAAACAATTAGGCAATGTGGAAATTGAATTCTATGACCCATTCAGCCTTATCTGGGATCTCATTTCTTCATATACCTAGTCTTTGTTATAATTACTGCTAATTTTACGCGGCCTTTAGCTCAACTCTAGATTAAGACGACAGATTACCTTGGCATAACACGAAATTGCCGGCTCTATCTTTCATATGCCTCAAGTTTTGACGGCCGTGTGAACGAATCCTAGATGACTTGCTATTGAAATATGATAATAAATGTACAGTAGGCCCTGTTTTCCTTATTCAAATGTCCGTAAATTGTACAAATTTCTGTGGTCTACCAGTAATTTTGATGTTTTTTGCTAGATATTTTTTGACAGTTTAGTTTCTTCATTTTGACGTTTTGCTGCTCATTTAACATAATTGTCGAAACATTAAGATCACATTATTGGTTATGAGAAAAAAATCGTTAACAGATTATCGTAAACGCTCTTACTCCAGATTTCTGTAACTTTGTATTAAACTTGAAAGAGCTTTACCGTGATTGTACAAAATAAATAAATAAATAAATAAATAAATAAATAAATAAATAAATAAATACACAAACAAATATTTTTTTTAATTAATAATTTCAATATAATCTATAATACAATTTTGTTTAGTAAAACATTATATTCAGAATAGTAAGCATTAAAATTACCTTGACGTGTTGTTAGACCTATTTCATACATTTTGTAAATATTCGGATAGATGTATAAAATCCTTATGAAAACAATTAGTATATTAAAGGGAAAGAAAGAAAGAAAGAAAGAAATGTGAAGTTTTTATAACAGGAGTAATAATAAGATTCGACATGTCGCTAGTTCCATTTTTTGTTGTTGGAAAACTTCACACAACCATGCTATTTTAGAGTCAGCCGTGATTCATGTCTTCTGTTTTCACCAGATCTTGTTTCCAAATTGAGTGATAGAATATATTATCAAATCACTACGCGGACACCTACAGTCCGCAGGTTTATGTTTCTTTATAACGAATTTAATGTGTTTTTAATTGAGCGCGTGATTAATGTGTCAGTGAATTCGGATACGTATATGTGTCTATCAGTGACAACGTTAAATACTGGAATAAGTAATTACTTGTAATATACGTACTTTTGCCGTGATAAGATTGTAAGGCAATGCTTACTTTGATACATAATTTGTAAACCATTAGAGGTCCTTTAAAGATCATTTAGACCTTGTACATTAAACAAAAATATGTGTTTTTTTTTCTTGGTAATGAAATAAATTGACTTTAAGTGAAAATCACGCGTCTGTTTACGTTACGTAAAAGATGACGTAGTATAAAAATCATGTATTAATTTAAATTTCCTTATAACTTGTTTTTTGTTATAACAATTGTTATTTTATTATTATTATTATTCTTCTTCTTATTATTATTATTATTATTATTTATTATTATTTATTATTATTATTATTATTATTATTATTATTATTATTATTATTATTATTATTATTATTATTATTATTATTATAAAATTTCTGTTTACTTCGATCTATATCATATTATTTCATTATCACCCTTATGAAATTCACACAAAAAGCAAAAGAGATCTTTCATAACAATTATTTAATGACAATGTATTTTATTATTTCATCATATCATTTTCTACCCATGTCGGTCAAAGTCAATATGAATAATTTATGTTAAACTGATAGATATTGTGAAAATAGATATAACTGACTAGACATGACTTTTAATGTTACTGATGTACTCCTGATTACCAACCTCCCACCCCCTCGCCTCTACCTCTTTACATCTGCATAAACATACTCCTATAGGCATTAGTAAATTGTAATGATTCACTCCTTAAATAGACATGGAAATATTTTTGAAAACTTTCACATTGCTTTTCTCACGCTGTATTTCACTAAAGTCATAATTTAGACATCTGTGGTAATCATAGTGTCACTTTTATGAGGCATCATCTTAATTTATCGCATTCAATACTTTGTGGTCACCGGCGAAAATGGCCACTGGTCACTCTGTAAATAACCCCTTGTTATGATCACTTGCTTTCCCTTTTGGGCTGGTTATTCATTAGTAGTTAAAGCGACAAGGTAAACGTTTGTCCCCCTCTTCCCTACAGTGTCCTCCTCGCAGGAATTAGTGTGATCTATGGGATGACCCAAACACTGGTCAACTTTAATGTAATGACCAGCGGTCAAATATTTTGTGTAAAACCTTTCATTACAGTGATTATGGCTGTATTATGGATGTTCTCTTTAACAACTTTATATTCAATTTTGTTGTTAATTGCAGATTAGATGCCGGTGTACCGCGTCTTTAAAAGTCCATAATCCTTCTTGTTGAACAATTCATTGTGGGACTTCAAACCATCGTGTATAAACAAGCATGACAGGTACCTATAAAGTATTGCATACAGGGTCACCATTACAGGGATTTCTCGAGGGCTCACACTGAGCCGGCCAGTCATTAAGGGCCCATTAAGTGCCATCATGATTGTTAGCAAACTACTCAGTGGTCAGTTGCTGGTGGTAATTAGCCTAAGATGACCAGAAGAACTGATAGTTGTGGTCAGCGGGCAGTCAAAACAAAATGTGAGAAAATCCAGCTAAGATTTGGCGTAACTGTTTAGACAACTTAGATACTTTAACCGCAATGTTGCCGGACATCTTACATATCAATTTAGTACAATACAAACATAACTATGATGTTGGCAAATTGTTCACCTTTAAACGCTACCTGTTAACCATTAATATTTCATCAGCATCATCGTTTAACCGTTCTATTCCAGTGTAAATAATGCTAAATAATTCAACACACAGTAAGCAATAAAACATGATATATGTTTAAAGACAAGTTTTGATAAAGATCAAATCATATAATCGAAAACTGATCTCTGAAAATTTATTTTGTGAAACAATTTTGTAGGTGACAAAACAACCACAACATATTTTCCAAATGAAATCAAAGCAAATATATTTACTTTAAACGTGTGAGTAATTTTATTTGTATTTCGTTAAAGCTGTATGCATTTCTTGTTAAGGAAATATGCTTATAGCGGCTAATTAATTTACTTTAGAACCTTTTATGAATTAACCGAGTGAAAGGAAGCCATCTTGAACCAGCGTGTTTCAATAATCGACAGCAAATCGCCAATCAATACAAGCTAATGGTCAACAATATCGTTTACTGAGTCCACATTAGATCTGCCGCATAAGGACACCCAAAGCTCACTTCCTTGGTCAAGTATCCTGATTTATATATACATCAAAGACAGGAGCGAAATCAAAATACAAGTGCATGTTGTTTGCATGAGGATTTACAGGGTACTTGATTTGTATGAAAGAAAAATTTGAGAAGGCAAAGAAATTACAAATGGCCAAGAGAAAGGATTATTTTTACCACACACGGCTAAATTACTGTGTTTCTTTAATGAAAAAATCAGCTACGGATATAAATTTGATGTACATCTTGTGATATTGATGGGCTAGATATGCAAACATGTCACTCCTAATGTCCATGTTCGAAAAACACCCACTTTAAACTGTTGCCTCTACTTATATAAGAACAGTTACTATCTTTTACACACAATATATTTATTTTCATTTTGTGTCTTATGACACTAAGTTAAATTATTCCGGTGTTAGATTCTGAAAAGGGTGACCATGAACAAAGCAGTTAATAGAATGTTTGCAAAAACATTAATATCGAGTGGGTGGTGTGGTAATGTAGATAAATAGATATAAAGATCCTATAAATACGAACCACTTGTACAGAAAGGAAAAATAGTCGTGCATTGTAAGAAAATGAAACCGTATGAAATGCAAAAACACTTCCGAATGTTAGAAAGCTATGAAAACAAATTAATGCTGTTGCAACTCGAACCCATGTCCTGTATTTAAATCATATCATTATACTTTTTTATGCATGTATTTATGCTGTATATGCGTCATGCATGTTTTTTTTCCAAAAGATCTCTATGAACGTTTTACGTGGATTGGGGGATGTACATATTAATCTGATAGGTTCAGAGTCTATGACAATGTTGAAAGCAAAGAAAGAATGTGGGATCCATTAACATTAACAATAATCCTGTCTATAGCCTCTCTCTCCCCTAGCATTTATCATTTCAATTAATGCAACAAGTAACATGAATTAGGGTGTCGATTTCTACTTCAGTTTTTATGCCAATATGAAAGAAAAGCCGACAATTAAAAGGCCTAAGATCAAAGAACTTGACAGCAGGTGCGAGCCAGGCAATATAGGAGTATCGTTTTCTTTGGAAGTGACATTGGATGTTAGTCTGTACGGATTATACCACAGGGGTATGTATATATGTTAGAAAAGATCTCACCTTATGTGTCGCTGTGGTACTCTTGAAATGTTTTAAGTACATATTTGAGAATTACATGCCCTCAAGGTAATTAAACACTTCAAACATTTAAAGAGATCGATGAAAGGAGTCAGTTCTTTTACTTTAGATTATAATAGGACATCAATTTCGGGTTTGATGATATATTAGTAATATTAAAAGCATATATTGGATGGTAAGGGTGAGGATTAAATTAAACAAAATTCAAGCATTATTTCAATACAACTTTTGCTAGTATTATTTGTCCAATTAGTGCTTAAAATGTTTGAATTCTGATAAGGAAGTCTGAAAATCGCTTTCTTTTTACGATTATTCTGGGACAGAAAGATGCACATTTTTAGTCCTAGGATTATTGTAGATTATGAATGACTATATAATCTTATCACATTAAAATAATAAAAACAATCTATGGTGACTTTTGTAACTCATTACTTCACTCATGAATAAAATTATAAAATTATACCACGTGATGTTTTTGTAAATATAAATTTGATCTGATGTAAATACTTTATTTTATTTTGAAAAATGTATATGATTGCTATTTATGTGACTTATATGTCTAATGGGTAATATTTCCTTTGTTATATAACCAAGTAAAAGTGTGTTTTTTCATATTTACTGATGTATTCTTCATAGATCATAAATATTCGTTATATTCCGTTACTTTCCGTGTCTTATAAAATCAAATAAGCGTCAGTTTGAACTGGAGCAACTAAAAAAATTGTCAACCAGACGCTTTCAGACTAAATATCACATATTAACAGGAACATTGTCTATTTGTTTCCCCGAATTTATACAATAAGAGGTTATTCAAATTTATACAAGCCATTCCAGATGTATAACCTATAAAAGAAACAATAATTATTCTATTTTTTACTTTATCCTGAAAATTATTTCAAACACAGTATCAGTCAAATAAATATTAATTTAACTTCTCATGAAAAAATGAAAGTTTGCTGTAGTTCATAGATTCAGTTATACTCACACTTAACTGACACGAAATTTCATTTTTTGTTTGGAATTATAAGAGAAATGCCTTTTTTTATTTTCAAATAAATTTTACCCAAACCCCTTTTTGTCATGTTTTTACTAAAGTTTAATGTTCTCAATAATTTACCTTTAACTAGACGTACGGGGTTGTATTCCCTCGTTATATATGCTATAAATTGCCAACAGACGCCAGTAAATTATCACATCTAACAATACATGAATCATGAAAATAAATACTGTATATTGATTTTAATTACCTCCCTTTACTGGAATGACAAATATTTCTATATTAAGATAAAATTATCTCCCTTCTACTTAAATTGACAATTACTAAAACATAAATTTGAACTGCATCCCTATATGCAATCGTTCCTGTCAATTAAAAGTTTATATGGAAAGTGATTAGCATAAAAACGAAAAACAACCCAAAACCAGAAACAAAAGTATTTATTGTGGAATATGTACCATATACCACTTCTTTAATGTTCTATATTTATATGTATTTGTGATATCTTGGACATCCGTTTTATATTTGTAAATGGTCAAGGTATTTTGTATGCTCATATGCAAATAAACCTGATGTAAAAACACTTGTCTTCAATGATTTTCTACATGTATTATATTTATTTTCACTTCTAGTTATCAATATATTTATTAAATTGGAATAAGTTTATTTATTATAATGGCAAGAAATGCGAAAGTTCCGAAGATCTCTTACGATTTTTATACATATTTATTAAAGGAAAAAAAATATATTTTTCACTTTAGCTGATCTTATAAAAATAAAATCAATATTGTCAAAACTATCAATTTTAATAGCCAATTAATTCTTATTACAAATGTTTCTTACATGTTCATAAATGGTTTCTTCATAAAAAAAATCCAAAATAAATAAATAATTAAATAGTAATTATATAACAAAAATACAAAAACTAAACAGTATAAAGAAATGAGGGAAACCTATAAAATATTTAGGATGACATTTAATATTCTTGACAAGAAATACCAAAAGACAAAATAAAACGGATATTGATTATCTAGAATCAATGTTATACATTTTATAAATTAAGACTGCTGAAAAAAAAAACAGCAACACTTTGCTTTTATAGCAATTAGTTATTCTAAATTTCGATGTCATTTTATTATCCTTGCAGCTTGCCCATGTACAAATGCATTCCTTTTTTTCTTGTAGAAATAGCAAAATTTAAAAACCTCCGCGCGTCAGAATATTTACTCTTCAATAAGAAGGCAAGAAATGCCGTCGTGTGTGTCAAAATGGCGTAGGTATGAAGCAAACATATGTTGCCAGCGTAATGAGCCTGTTATTACCACAATTTGTCTGTCAGTCTTTCTTTAGACGTGAAGTTTCTGATGAGAGATATATACTCTTGATTACCACATTTCAAACATACATTTTTCAACTGGTACTTAAACATTTCCGGAAGTGTTTGTATGTTTACATGTTGCTAATCTTTGTGAACAATCGTGTGAAAATACAACCATTTTGCCACAATTTCTACTGGAAAAACATTATTTAATTGTGTTTCGAAGGTAATCGACAAAACGTTGTTGTTTTTTTACTTGTTTTTTTTTAGTAAATAAAATATTTGAAAGCAAGTTGGCGTAGATCTACAATTACTAATCAATAAATTATTAACCAATTAGAAAGAAAAAACTTTTATGTAATTTCAGTTTATATATATCAAACATTAAAAAAACTAATAGATAACTGGCTTGAAATTAATCAACTCCTATCATTTTATATACATTTGTTTATATTTGTACATCACTTATTTGATTTGATACGACATGATTTCTTGATGGATGCAATAAATATGTGTTTTGTTAATGGGTGTTGAGCCCACAAGAAATAAAGTACATGATTTGTTCTGTTCTATAATCTCGGAAGAATAAAGAAATCACTCACCAAAAGGATAGCCGAGTAAGCCATGTCCGTGCTTGTTCATCATCCATGGAGGACACATGGACAGTGGGTCTCTTCCGGCCATGGCAGCGGCTGCTAAAATACTTGGATGTGTTGAGAAGCCAGGCTGGAGGGGCCCTCTGGGTCCCATCTGCGAAGGAATACCACCAATACCTGCAGCGTTCAGCCCGAGTCCCGGAAACGAGCCAACTTGCTGGTTTCCGAACGCCCAGGCTTGGGACTGCAACGCAAGTAAATGCTCGGGACTAGGTCTGCCGGCATGGCTGCTTGCTTCACGTAACAATAACTGTTGCACATGAGCCGGTAATGATGGATGTAATGGTGGGATTCGAGACCCAACGGAAAATATATCGTCGTCAGTCGTCGGCGAGTGTCCACGTTGTTCTTCACCGATATCGCTATCTTCCGACGAAGAATGATTTCTATCACGGTCATCTCGACTCATTATAGAGTCTATAGAAAATCCATGAGTCCGTTTTGGAATCGGTACAATAGGTTTAACTTTCACAGCACTCATTATGATACTTTATAAATTAGTTTTCTTTTCTTCTACTCCTTGAATTTATTTCTGAGAAATCACAAAATATGCCTTCCTTTATTTACAGCGCCCAATCAGTTAAAACGATGCGGTAAGTCCGTGTAATGTATTTAATCTGGCAGTCAACTTAAAAAATATGACACATTTGATAGACCCTCTAGTGAACACGTTAAAAAGTTTTTCCTCCGCTTAACTAAATTAAACACTGGCGAATCAAAGTGAATTGGTTTCTATTACGGGTGAAGTAAAGAACAAAGCGAAAATAGCATTAAAAAGTGTAAGAATTGACCCGTTGGGATTTTATTGAAAAGATGGTATCGTATAACAAACTCATGAATGAATCAACAGTTGCTTCTATTGGAGGAGGACAAACAAGTGATTGGAGGGACTTCCCTAATTGATACCTACGGGTTTCTTCAGAGCGGGGCACAATAAGGGGGGAAATTGCGATGTTCCGTTTACAAAAGGAAAATTCGGAAACTTGTTTTCAATTATGGATGAAATCTGAATAAACAATTAGAGTGAAAAATAATTGAAATTGAAAATATTGAAATATCGAACAGTTGGCAGGCTTTTTGTTTGATTCTGTTTATTAAGGTAGCAATTTGAGTTACATTTGCGCCTTTATGGAAGTATGTACAAGAGATTAATTTGGTAATATTTACAAAGGGTAAATAAAATAACACCGGTCAGGATGTTGAATATTGGATAAAAATCGCAACTTCTATTGTTACAAACTGTCGCATCAAAGTTCCAATATATTATATTAAAAATCCCGGAAATCTGAAAAAGGACAAAAGACGTGGCAGTCTTTTTTTGAAGGTTACTCTTTTGACGAAACAAGTTTTTAAACTTTTGAACTATCAAATAATAATATATGCGACAAAAATCAAATTTAACATATTTGATAAATACACTTAATACCTGCTTCCTTAACAATAACATATTTCAACTCGAAGTATGAAGTTAAAAAAACGATCTTTAAAAAAGTGTATATTGATAACTTCTTAAATTAGTTATTTAGTAAATTCATTATTTTGATTGCAATTTATTTACTGAATTCATAAAAAATACTATCTTTTCATACTTTTTTTCCATTTGAAAATATCAAATCTTTCAATTTTATGATTCTAACGAAGTTCAGCTTTTATATAATAGGTATATTTTAAAGGTCTGTTTTGACGAGGAAAATAAAATCATTTTACAATCGGTCAAATATTCGGTTCCTCTTAGCTCTCACAAATTATCAGTGGGCGGTGTATAATATGCTAATTTATGACAGGGGGAGTGGCAAGCTAAAAAAATGGATTATCGGATAAAATGAGGTCCGTTTAAATACACGACAAAAGTTAAACGAAAATTTATAACACACCGAAGAAATGTATAAAAGATTATAAGTAGTTGATTTATCTTTTTTCTTAAAAGTATAGAATTTGAGAATAAAATAATTATTCAGTCCAGTTGAAGTCTCTTCAAATATTTTGTCATGTTTAATGTGAGCAGAAGTTCGTTAAATTGTTTTTTAAAATTTGTGTAAAACTTTCCTAGAGATTATCTTTAAAATAATCTTATACAGTTTACTGTTCATTAAAATAATAAATTTAATCATACCCTACTTTAAACTAATTATTTACAGACAGGTGCATATATTACGCCATAAATTAAGAAACGGCGCTGTCACCTTCAAACCGTTCCGTAATTTTTCCACGTCCCTTTTGCCCCTTTCTTGAGTATAATATATAAATATCATTAAATCATTCAATGTAGAAATAAGTTTACTATCAAAAGGTGGGCGTATCTTGGGTTGTATCAGTAAGGCGTACCATGCGGCTGTTTATACGTATTTATCAGTTCCTATTTATCACTGATTGATCGCTTGACAAATTAATAGCCGCTAAATCAATCAGGCATCATCGATTTAACGCTTCTTATCATTTTTTTCTTTATATAATTTCTACTAATTTCCGCCATAACGACTTGACAAATGGTATTTTAAACATACAATATCAGGACAATATTTTTTATCTATTTTCCATATTCATGCTCTGACCAATTTGTGCTTAACTGGGGTTGATTTATTTAATACAAAACGGAATAAATTTCAAATTAGTCTTTTTGAATGATAATTGCTAATTTTTGTGAGACTCCAATTTCAATAGGTGATTTATAGACCTGTTTATAAAGATTAATGTATTTTTATGGTGCCGTATTGAAGGGGAAAAACATAAAAGTATATAAAGCTAGTACCACAGACGGGCGGCCCAGTTGGCGTGAATTTTATTAAATCACGGTTTTAAAAAAACGGTTATTTCTATACTAAATATTCTTAAATATTTAAAAAAAAAAGGGGGGGGGAACCAGAATTCTGCATCAAAATTATTTAAAGTTAAAGTCCAAAAATAATAATGTTCAGATGTTATTCGACATAGAAAAATGAGTGTTTTATTTTTCAACAAACTGGTATCTTATGTACAATGCAATACTTTTCTGGCCATGTCGAGGCACTGAGAATTAAAAGTTCTGTGACATGAAACAAAGGAAAGCATCGACATGTATTTATTGTCAGGACTACTATAAAAGGTAACTAAAACGTTCATTCGGCCGTCTGAACATGTTCTGTACTGATCGCTATTCAGTCAGTACTTATCTAAAGTGGATGATTTTTTTTTCTTCTTATCCAGATTGAAAGATGCACAAGTTCATTTAAGATATATGTATTAAAGTGGTAAGGGTTAATAATGTTTATGAAGGAATGATACAAAAGACGTAGGACTAGAAAACCACCAAACCTACAAGTTAAAATGTGTTGGTTGGTTATTCAATATATGAGCCGCGTCATGACAAAACCAACATAGTGCGTTTGCGACCAGCATGGATCCATGCTGTTCGCTGTCAGTTTCTCCACTTTTAATGAGTTGGTAAGCGAACAACATGGATCCTGATCAGACTGCGCGGATGCGCAGACTGGTCTGGATCCATGCTGGTCGCAAACCCACTATGTTCGTTTATTCGTGACGCGGCTCATTTGTAAAATAGATACATTAGAAACAAAATAAAATAAAAATGTGTGCAAAAACAAACGTGCCGAATTTTCAGGTGTAATTTGAATGTGCACCGCTTTTGAAAACTAATAGTTTCCAATATCCACCATTTTCTAATCATAAAACAGATCTAAAATTCAATGTCACGAGCCTTCGAGTTTCAAATCATTTTAATTTCTGAATGTTAAATAGGGTCTAATAAATAATTATACTCACTTTATTTATTTTCAATTATACCAACATGAATATGGATTGAACTACTTAGTGTCAAGACCGTCTAATTTTATTCTATTGCGTGGAAAAGTCGCAGTTTACATGTAAAAAACCAATTAATAGACTATTCATTATCATAAAATAAGACCGTGGTGGCGCTTCATGATATGTGTCCGCAGTACCTTACTTTCCAAATGAAATTCGGAAGCGTGACAGCACATTTAAAGAGACACAACACATCAAATTAGAGTAAAAAGAAAATTTAGTATGCAAAATGGTGGGCGAACGCTGCCCTGTAGCGAGAAGAACACCTTTTGGCCTCCGCTGTGAATCCGAAATTAGAATATCCGAACACTGTGTGATTTAAAAAATATTTCTGGTAATCAATTCTTAATGATTACTTCCTGCCGTTTATTCGTGCCTCTTTTAGAATAAACTGCTTAAATGGAGTGTGACTGATTATTTTAGTTTAAAATGTAAAATAAGACGATATCAAATTCCAGCGGACGTGGACAGGTGATTGCTTAAAAAAGGAGAAAAAAATTGAAATAGGAGTCAAAATTAAAGCAATTTTAATTGGAGAAGTGGCACTTTCAAATTCTTTATACTCACAGTTTTTAATGAGGTGTTTTTGGTTCATGAGTCATCAAATTAACGAGCAATGTTTTAGGAAAATTGTTGAAATATCTTTTTACCACTTCTAATGTAACGAAAGACGTACTTCACAAATGGCAGTATCGTGAAACTTTGTCATAAGAAAACATAACCCAACGTTCCTTTAGCGCTTCGCGGATAAAGTATCCTGTTTTCCAAATAATGGCGCGGAAATGATCAAATCAAAGCATTATGAAACAGTCGAATATTTCATTATTAGCGCATGCAATCACTAATTGCTATTTCAAAGGTTATTATCCGCAGCAACACAGCGATTCCCTTAGTCCCAGAAGTATAACACCCCTTTTACAACAGTTCCACTCGATTTGATGCTAGTAGTCATTCGAAGAAAATAAGCACATTTTAGGGGCAACATTCTATCCTCATAGGACTCTAACAACTCTGCAAATAAATCTAGTTCAAATGAGCACAATCCAGGACAATAATAAGCGATCTTTGAAGTTCATTACTGACCGTGAAATGCACGTGAATCACGGGATTATTGGTTGATAAACACCAAATAATTGATAGAAAATTTCGATTACGTCTTCATCATGATGTAACGGTGACTTTTCATGTCCGATAGTTTACAGGACTTTACAAGCAACGATCTGATAAGCCTTGGGTACTATCAGACCATTTTCAAAGATAAAGTTGAAGTCACGTGCCAACATTATAACCGACTGAATCTGGGTAAAATGATTTAGGGATTTTTTTTTCAAAGCATATTTTCAAATTTCAAATTTCCGACAGGAAAATTGTATTTCTTTTAGAATGGCTCTTCGTACAGTTGTTAAAAGTTTAACTTAATACTCTTCTGTTCTGTCTGTGTGAATGTTGTATTTTGTTGTTGTTGTTTTTGTTTGTTTTTGTTTTTTGTTTATAAGCGAAGCTTCAGGTTCTATATAAATATAAATGACCTTTCTGTAAAGACATTTACACTAAAAGATACAGTAAAGCCTTATTGCAAAGCATTTCTTTCTTTTTTTATTCTAAAAAATGATGACTGTTTAATTAAGTCATTTTATGGTTATATTTTCCGTTAAAAAGTTACGATTTCTTGTTCAAATTCTTCGGCTATTTGTCGCATATCTCGATAAAAAAATACAAGGTAAACAGTAGTACTAAATAAACATTTGCGTAGGTTTAGAAAAAAAAACGAAAAAAGATAATCGCGTTTAATGTCGCATGTGACTTGACTTTAAAAATGTCACTGTCACCAACTAATTTTACCAATAAAAATTCAATAAATTATTGTTATCTTATCCATCTATTGAAATAATTATCATCATTATCATCGCTAAAATATGATTTAGGATTGAACAACAGTCATATGACACTAAATACGGAGATATCCATCTATAAATTGTCTTGTTTTATTCATTCCCTTAATCAGTAACATAACCACTG